TGTTGACAGCCTTGAGGTAACCCATGCCCTATGCAAGTGATAAGTAAGTAGAGCTAGACATTCACCAGTCACTGCTGTTTTGTCTCTGCTACACACGGACAATGCACCCTGCATCAGGCTGCAACTATCTATCCCATCTCCTAAAGTAAACGTTACTGATTTGGTTTGAGTTTTTGTATGTGTGTGAGAAATACAAGGAAGTCAGAAGTTTTTTGCATAATACTTAGAAGTATGTGTGAAGTATTTTTTTGACATTATTGGACTTGGAAAAAATGCTGGGTAGCAGCACAAGGCAATAGTAATTGTACCAACAGGAATATTTTCCACTGATCACATTGTGTGTCTCTGAATGTGTATCACATTCAGTCATATCTGCTTTGGGTCTTCTCAGCTTCACTCCTTCTCTTGAAAAATCAATTTTTATTTTGAGAGCAGAAATCATCAGTTATACTTTAAAGCCTCAGTGTTGGATTTGTATTTCTTTTTTCTCTTAAATAGACAGATATCTGATTACTGATCCCTGATCCCTTTTTAACAATACGCAGTACTACAGCAGACAGGGAAAAAAAAGTTATCAAATAAATAGAGTTAAACACAACCTCAACTAACAAGTCTTTGTTATCCATGGATGACAGCCCAGTTAATAAATGTTTTCTCACTGCAATGCAGGACTGGAAGTTAATGTTGAAACACAGCTTCAACATACTCCAGATGCTCAAGACAAGCAGACCCATCTCAACCATAATGGCAGTGGCATGCACAGCATGTATCTATAGGAGGGTTGCTTAGTCCGGACTGGGTTTCTCCCTTTGCTAGCCCAAGTGCAAATGCTGTGTGAACTAAGAAATTTGGGCAGGAAAAAGACTGGTTTATATTTTGAATATGTTACTTGAAAACGGTGCTTAGCGCTGGCAAGGGCTTATATACAGAAAAGGAAAGAAGAAAAGATGAAAGAGGAAAGGTTTTGGCAGAAGTTGTAGTTCAGGCATGCAGAATAGATACGCTAGTCCGCATAATCATAAAAGTGTGTCCGCGTGCAAGACTTGCTTCGTATCTCTGCAGTTGGCTTTCTGTCTTTAAATGTAAATGACATAGCATTGCCTTTAGACTTTGTGAGTCACTAGACCAGAGCCAAGAAGAGTTCAAATATGAAAAATATGTTTTGCTACATTTGCCATTAAAGGAACAGTATCATTTTAAGAGATCCAAAGCCTGAATTGCTTCCATCGTAATTTTCTCCTTTTTTCAGCCTTTGCCCGCATTTTGTTAACTGAGCGAAGCTGACAATTAAGGCCAGAATGGCAACACTTCTTGACTTGCCATCAGCCCATCCAGAAAAGCCTTCACAGAGAAATACAGGAAAATCCATGATTTTCCATTTCTGCACCACAAAAATTCCAAAAATATCCTACCTTGTGGTGGTTAAAAGATAGCCAAGAGCCAAAGCTGGGCAGTGTTTTTATCCCAGTTCAGCCATGTCATGGGTCATGTGGTTCAGCATGTGAACAGGAAGGTGAGAATGGGTGAACTTTTGCCTCAGCCGTGCAGTCCATCAGAGAATAAATGGACCAAATCACTCCGCAGCTGTATAAGGAGGTGAACGGCTGAATACCTCTCACACAGAGTCCTTTGTGTTCTGGACATGATCTAGCATTATGATGGGACGCGCTAGGCTGAGGTTTTGTAGCAATTACTAACCCATTATCACGCTAGAACATGAGATCATTTATCTTCTAATTCAGAGTGTCACCTGTTCTTCATTTACCAGTCAATAACCATTAATTACTTTCAGTGGAAATTTAAACAAAGCTTTTCCCCTCTGTTAAAACCAGTAAGCCATTCAGTAATGACAAATAAACCTGGAGCTGTATCTCCCCCTTTCCTCTCATTCTCAGCCTGGAGTCTGGTACAATATGAACTCCTGGAGGAAATGCCTAGGAATTGATAGGTCAAGGGCCTTTATTAGTCTGATGGGGGGGAAGCACATTCCTGGCACTTACTGTAGGGAAAATGTACGGCTACTGCTTGCACACGAGTTTCTCATTGGTTACACAGGCTCTACCTGTGGAAAATAAGATTTGAATGCAGAGTTTGATCAAAAATATTCCGATCCTTTAACTTGTCTTTCCGTTTTTTACAAAGTGTTCATGCAGGCCCATTCAAAGCAACAGCATTTGGTTGCCTTCCTCAAAGCAAACAGAACTATCGCTTGCTTTGTGATTTTAAGCACATTCATTTCTTTCATACCTGATTTTGACTGAGGTAATTCTAAGTGCCAACAGTTATGAGTGCCAGAAAAAATAAAAAGAACCAGCAGCGATAGATTCTCAATTAATCATTAATCTAAACATTCTTTCCTGGTAGGAAAAGAAGCAAAAATTGCTTTTAGCAACTGTATCTGTATTTGATCGTTGCTAAGCTGGCCCTGCAGTGCAAGTTTTTTTTCTAGGACAGTGATTGCTTGCTATTTGAATTGGAGACAAGAGTTGATACATCTGAATGCATGAAACCTGGCAGGACCCATTGTCAGAGGCTGTTTTTCGGTTTCTGTTTTGTAGCTGTCTCCTTCAATGCATTGCGCGTGTTTGAGTAAAAAGGGGCAAGGTTCCAATGCCATTTAGTATTGTTAGACAAAATTAACATCAAATATTTGAAGTACTCACTGGATTGTAGAATGTCTCAGCAGAAGCACCTGTACTAAAACTGCGTCCAATGAATTACAATATGAAGGTGTTTAAAAGCAGAAGTATAGACAAATGTTATCAAAAGTCCCATCCTTTTCCTTACACATACTGTTTTATGGAAGTGCATTCTAAATAAGATGTCTTTGTGCCAGTTTGGTATATTAGGTCCTACGTGGTATTTCAGGTGGGGGGAATTTTTCTTATCGATAAGTGAGGTTTGGTTGTTACAGTTGTGCTGTGTACATTCTCAGCAAAAATAAAGGAGCAGATCTTGAATTCATTATGCACAGCAAACATCCCGTAAACTCAGGAGGAGAACCACTATAAATGTTGACTCTGACTGTTTGTCCTGGAAATCCTTATTCACCCAAACAGTGCCTTTGCATACAAGGAAGCTTCGTTGTTTTCCAGGCTGCTTAATATAAACCGGTCTGTGAAATCAGGGACTAGGGTAGCAGAACCAGAACTGCCAATTACGTATTTAAAATATTCCTTTTGCCTTCCTATAATCTTGTTACCACTGCGAATCTCACAAGTTCGTCCAGTCATGAAGAAACAGGCGTTGGCGATTTAGCACGACCTCTCAGATCAGCAGGGAAACCCCAATGTTCCAAGAAAGCTAATAGGAGAGATACGAGTTAAGACATCTCCTCCCCACCAGAGGAGTTTCATCAGCCAGTCGGGTATTTCTGCGTCATTGGCGAGGATGTTCAGCCCTGGAAAGGAAAAATAAAGTTGCTGCCATTGTCCTGCCCAGCAGGTCATATCCCTGAAGCACAATTAATGTCAAGGACTTACACAGCAGTTGCTCAAAACCCGTCCTGCCCTGCACATTCAAAAAGCAGAAAGGTTCAAAAGGAACATGTTAATAAAATCTTGTCAAAACTTTGGGAGATGCATAAAATAATAACTGGGAAGAAAAATGACTTGCAAATAGAACCATTGAAGTGGAATGCGTTGCCTTGCTATACTTGATTTATTGAGGGGTGGGGGGCAGAATTGAGTATTTCAGGTGGTATTTACAAAGAGAAACTGAGCTGTCCCAAAGCTTTTATTAATCTGATTTGCAGAGTATCCACTACCGTCAAGGGACCTACTAAAGTTGTTTTCTTTAAAGCTGATGTGAAAAGGTCAGTGCAAATAGCGTTGTGGATTACACTGTGAGAAGATGACAGTCCTTTTTACCATATGGCAAGAAAGTTGAATTATTTTGTTTTCCTCTTCTGGTTATTTATTAAATGAGGATCATGCCGTACAGGTATTCCCTTTTCCTTTCTAAAGGAAATGAAATGTTTAGATCATTTTGATTGATCTGAAGTAATAATTATTCTGTCCGCCTACAGGTCCTAGGCAGTCATCTAATGGTTAGAGCAGTGTCAGAAAACCGAAATGTACCTGTTGTGACACCTCAGACAAGCCACATGTGTCCTTGTGTACCACTTTTTCCATCTGCTTGCCTGCTTTCATGTTGATTTAGCTGGCCATCTAAACAGTGGTGCTCATCTGTGTGTCTGTGGGAGAGAGACAGTCATGGGAAGTAAAGATCTCCCTGAAAAATCCTGTGTTGGTGAACACGTGAAGTTGTGCTTCAAAAGCCATTGTGATCTTTGTCACTCTCCAAAAGGTTCTCTGAAAGAGAAGAGTTAACCGTTGTCTTATTGTTCTATCTGTATTGTTCGTATTCTTCTGTCAGAAGAAAAATTTTCTGTTGCAGTCCCATAATATGTTATATTCAACACATATTCAGCAGGCAAAACAGGCTAATGTGGTAAAAATACAGTGTTGACTATTCTTAGATACTTTTCTAATTACTTATTTGTAATTAAAATCCCTATTTAGCCAAAACAAACAAGGCAGAACAAAAAAGAAGCGGAAGGACTCCTGTCGTGATTCAGTGTTTGGCATCATTCTGTGACAGACAACAGCGCTTTGGATGGAAACATTATAAAACTTTGTTCTCTTCCGCCATATCTGTCTCAATGCCTGCAGTGTTTTAAGTAAATGAATCCATGCTCTTAAGCGCTAAAGCAAGCCTCAGAGTTCAAAAGTAAACATATTAAAGTCTCCCCTGAAAAAATCCCTGCTGTGAAACAAATTGAAAATCAAATATAGCATTGTTTTCCGTAATAAGAAATAATTGAACTCTTTTCAAAGTTGCACTGAACTGGTTAATAGCTGCCAAATTAGGAAAGTGCTAATTTCCCAAGCTGGGAGCGTGCGTGTGTGTGTTATCTTCAAATCAAAAATGCAGCAATATAATATCATGTACCAAAGAGGCCACTTACATTTGCACTGAATCTGTTTGTTTTCCCGCAGGCCATGTGGCTGATGCTGCAAACGGATGAGCCAGAGGACTTTGTTATTGCCACTGGGGAGGTCCATAGTGTCCGTGAATTTGTGGAGAAGTCATTTAAGCACATTGGAAAAACCATTGTGTAAGTATGAACATGAGATAGTAGCCACAGGCTGAACTTTTGGAGCTTTTTTGCATCGCGTGAGTTACAGAGCATTGTTTCTGTACACTTCTTTTTTTCCTCTCACATTCTACTTCTGTAACATGAGAGTTTCCAAGACATAAACGCCTGCCACAGTGGGTATATCCAGTGCTGATAATGAGAAAAAACTGTAGGAGGGTATATCTTCCTTTTTATTTCTGAATCTTCATGTTCTGTTCATACATTTCCCTTCTTGTGTCTGCCCAGTTCTTCATTTTGTGTCCCCACACCCCAGATATCTCCACAGTTCTGCTCTTACTCTCTGCAGGTGTCACCTGCTGATGCCAGTCCTTCCACGCTGCAGCCATACAACAAGGGTTATGTAGCAGCTCACTCTGCATTCCTATTAGCTCTGCCCCTACCAAGCCATAAAAATGTTGAGCAGTGGGTACAGAATGTTTACAATGCATATTCCACATAGTTTGATTGAAAAGACAAAATTCCTTCTCAAGGCCATATAATAAAATCAGGATGGCTTGGTGAGCGCTTTCCGTAATTTATATTTTTATTGTTTATTATTTTTTCAATTTCCCTCCTTCTGTATCTTCTCTGGGCCCCATGCATCAACATACCAATCTCAGCTGGAAAAGGGAGAGGAAAGCCACAGGCTCTTCCATGACGCTAGCGCCAGGGCTGTTCCTCAGGCCATCAAAGTCACTTGTGCAGCTGGTGAACTTTTGACAGGGCCAATAAGTTTTACTTGGGAACAAAAACTTGACAAATTCAATAAATATGCAGAAGTGCACAGATAGATACAATATTATTTGAACAGCCAGTGTGTGGCTGGGGAGGTAATAACATTTTCTCCTCAATGACTTTTTAGTCTGTTTTCAATTTTTGGCATCAACTTCCAGGAAAAAAAAAAAAACAAAAAACCTTTGATAGAGGGAAAGACTGTATGAGTAGAATTTCTAGCCCAAAAGCTCAATTTTGGGAAAAAGTTTATCTTGATATTTTTAACAACCCTTTACTGTGAGATGTCCCTTTATGATCACACATTGTCCCGTATTCCTCAACAGTAGTAGTGAGGTTTAACAGGACAAAAGGGTAGCAGAATTCTAGTATGCTTTCCCTTTCTTCTTTTTCCCCTTCTTCTGTATTTTTGCCTCTTGCATTTGTAAGCTAATTCTCCCTAACAAGCATTGAAATTAATATAATATATGTGCACTTACTCTATTTAAATAAGAATTCTTGTGATATCAAGAATTGCCTGTCCAATGTTTAATTAATTTTTTAGTATTTATTTAAGAATTAATATTTGTGTAACCAGTTTATTGTTGTTATTATTATTATTACATAAAATAAGAAACTGAAGCTTATCAGTGCCATTAGTACATAGCTGGCCATCAGTGCCTAGCTGAATATCTTTTTTGCAGATATTTTCATCACCACAGTTTCTTTTTATGCCAATACATTTAACTATTAGTTTAAAATTAAGTTCCTTGCTCTGTATTTGGCCAGAGAAATCTCAGCATGTACCAAAGATGACAAATCAGCATATGCCTTTCAGGAAGGAAACCCATGAGAAAACAAAATAAAAAATTTAAAAAAAAAAACCTAACTACTCAAATACAAGTGAAAGTATTTATGAACAGCTTCTATTATAGAGGATCCTAAAGGCTTATTTTAGATTTAGCTGGTCCTAACACACTCTTTACTGATTTTTTACTCACATACAGTTTCATGCGGTGGGCTGCATATCATTCATAGTGGTGATTAGTAGATTCAGTGTTTGGACTGAATTAATCAGTCCTAAGTTTCACTCTTGGGGAAACTGTGCAGTATTACTGCAGCTGATGAGGTAGGGCAGGTATTCTGTGTATACAAGGGCTTATTCACATATATATATTTTTTAAATTAATAAAAGTAATTTTCCAAGTTGCATGAGAACCCACAATCTATGGACGTCAATTTTTTGGAGCCTAAGTGTCTAATCACTTTAAAAATGGAACTTTGACTGCTAATCACCACAGTTCGTTTGAAGTATTTCTTACTGTAATATATTATCAACTTCTTAAGTCATTCATGGGTGGTGTGTAAATAGCTGTACACATGGGGACTGAGGGGACATTTTAGGTGCCAGTAATAATTTTGTTGCTGATTATTTTGAGACCAATGTAAATCTGGTCATTTTAGCCTAGCCAAATAAGCCAGCTGTTCATTCTCTGTGCTCCTGGGGTGGGATAGTGTCACAGCTGACCTGCTACTCATCCTGTAGCCATCATTCATCTTTCAAATTGCACCAAATGTTAAAGCATTTTTGAGCACTTGGGAAGTTTATTAAAAACCACACATCATTTGTGTAGGTATCAGTGCAGTCCGTGCTTTTACAGAAGGCATGCATGCACTCCTTACCTTCGCTGTCCTCTTGGCTGGACAGCTGGTAACCTCACATTCCTTGAAACCCCCAGGGGCTTTCTACTCCCACCTCCTCCAGTTTGAATATATCTTCCTACAACTTCTTCAGGGAATAGCTGGCAGCAAAGTCCTCCATTTAGTGTCGTGGGTCCCCACTGGTGAATCCCACTGATTTGTTTCCTTGCAATTTATGATGAGGCACCTAAGAACAGTGCACCAGAGTTCTAAATGAACATACAGGCATGGCTCCGTTCCTCTTATCGCCCTTCCTGAAAATTTGGTTGTGCTGTTTCAGGGTGGTTGGTTGTTTTTGTGTGCGTTTTTTGTTTGGTTGGTTGGTTTCAATCCCCAAAACTTACCTAGGCAGTTTCTATCAGCCTTTTTCACTGTTGTAAGTGATGGCACAGCTTCACAATATTCCTATACCTTTAACATCAAAATGCACTTTTCAGAATGATGGAGCAAATAACCAAAATCAATGAAAGGGTAAGCAGCAATTGGCAGAGCCCATAACCTGAAAACACTAGGCATGTGTGAAGGGGCTCTTAACCTTCCCTACTTTGTTCTTTAGCAGAAAGTGTTGCATCTTAGCTGTCAAATCTTAATACTGCTATAGAGAACAGGAAGAAAACCATTCCTACTTGCCACATCAACTAACTAAAAATATATATTTTTAAGGTTTTTTTGTCTTCCAAACAATTCCCATTAGCTTCTACAACTGAACATCCAGGGCAGCCTGAAAAGTGTTTCCAGAAAGATAGCATAATACTGTGTCATAATCAATCGTTAGCTTATGTCAGGACCGTATCTTTTCACCAAAATGAGAGATGAGAAACTTTACCGTATTTTTTGAGTAATGAAATGTACAGCTGCAGTAAGACTGACTGATTGCCCTCTGAAATTGACTCTGAAGTATACACTGAGGTTTATCTTACACTGTATTTTTTCTTCTTCTAACATCATTTTTCAAGGGAGAAATTTAAAATTATATTTATATAATCCTCAGTATCATTCAAATCCAGTCCTTTGTACTAACAGGAAAGCCTCAGAGCTACAAATATTTCCCCCCTGTAAGGATTACACTTTTTTTCTTTTACTTTCCCTGCTACTTATTACTAATTAAGTAGTACTTGGGGGAAACACTTCCCGCCTATAATTTGAACTACAGCAGGGTAAATGAAACAGGCAAATGCTTGTCTTGACTAATTTTCTGTCATTAATCTTATTAAATTAGAACAGGATTGCAAAGATAGCCCGAAACCACTAGAGCGCTCGTAGTTCTTTGCAGAATGCTACAAAGGCTGCTGTCTGCAATGTGGGGGGAAAAAAAAAGTTTGAGCACTGGAAAGATTTATTGTGTTTTTTATGAATATAAAAATACGTGCACATTTGTTACAGAAGTATTCGTTGCTTCCAGGATCAAAATTAATTCATGAAAAATGAATATTTTATGCCAGTCACTTGGCTCTAAACACGAATTTTATCTTGGCTTACCAGTTGGTCTTCTTTTAAAAAGATCACCCCAAAAAGGAGAAGTTTGCAGATTAGCTGTAAGGTCTAATGAGGTGAACTACTAGCAGCAGCAGCAAAAGATGAACTGAGGGAGAAGGGGATTTTCTTTCTCTTTTTTTCCAACCTTAAAATGGAACATATGGTGGCAGAAATACACGAGGTTTGAAATAGTGCAAAAAGAATGGAAAGCCGACAGTGTGCTCGTCATGGTGGAAGACGAGCCATCAAAAGCCTTCATCAAAGCAACTGCTGTCCTCCAGTCTGCCTTTTGCCCACCAAACACTGCTGTCTGACCGGTGATGTGCATTGTATTTTACAGTGCTCAGATGGGGAAGAAGGGAGCAGAATCTCAAAAGTAAATTAGAGACATTTCGAGCAGTGATAGGGGAAAGGAGCCCAGCCAGGCCAGTGAAGAATGCTGGCCTGAGTGGACCCACAAACAAGGTCCTCACATGACAGAACCACTTTTCTTGCTGTCCTCACAGTAGAAAATATGGCATTGTGTAGCATTTAACCCAATGCAGCCAGAGGATTAACTCTTCCAGCTGAGCTGACTAATTTACTTTCCTATTGATACAAGCTTTTATCTGTTGGCACATCTACTAACTGTTCCAGTGCTCAGATTTGAAGATGGTAACAATTTAATTATCTGATTTCCTACATCCTGAGGTGTGAGAGTTTCTCTTGTGGGGAGACAGGGTGAGAATTAAGTGTGGTATTCTGTAAGAAATTCCATATCTTTTCTCCAAATGGGATGAAAATAATTCTCACAAATGCAGTTTAGAAAAATGCCTGATTTCAGATCAGCAGGAATGTTTTGTTCCTTTTGTACTTTTCTATTAAAGAAAGACTAATGTAAAAAGAATTTTAAAAGCCGTTCTGAAAGAAAATACAAAATCTTTTCCTTCTGAAGGTGTCAAAGCTTCATCCTTCAATTTTATTAATACATTTTTCTTGCAAGTTGTCAATAGCATAACTTATTTGAAACTTCAGCTTTTCTTCCCAGCATGTTTTGATTTACACAGAAGCATTAGTATTCTTTTAGAAAACATTTTCCTGTGAACAAAAACCTTCTTGAAAGGAAACATTATCACCAACTTTCACATTTTTCAGCTTGAAAAGATTTCCAGCAGACTGAAAAAAAAAAAAATGAAATCAGAAAAAAAAAAAAAGAAAAAAAAAAAGGCCACGTAACATATATTCTCTATTAAAGTGGCAGAATGTGGGGAGTCATGATTTAGGTTTTTGCAAGTTGAGCTTGGCAACGCTGGAAGTTTAATACTAACAGTTGTATTGTTTTAGTTGTGTTCCTTTAGTGAAGAATTTGAAGGCCTGATTCATCACAGCTCTTGAGCAAATGTGTGAGTGCTTCCCTGTGTGGTACCATGCTTATTCTTTTGACCCAAGCACAAGGGAGTGGCTAAGCAATCGCTGAATCCTTAAATGTTTTGTTGTATCTAAGTTTGAGGTGGTAGCAAAGGAGCATACTATGAGTCATGCTTAAAATCTCCCTACAAGAAATTACTTGCAAGATAAGACATCCATGGTCTGTTGTATGATGCCAGTTTTGCTGTTTATAAAGCATCAAGACAGATGAACTGCTCTGGCTAATCATGTGTATTGGCAGTCAGGTCACAAATCTCTGAAGTCTACACAAGTGATACCTACATTAGCTTTGGAGAGTAAGCAAAATCTTCCTAAAAATTTTAAGCAATATTTCAAATATGAAAATGTTTTCTAGTAATACACTTTCTGATTTTTAAGGAGTATATGATAGGATTTTTTTCCCGTAAACAGTTTGGGATAATGATTTGCAATATTTCCTGAAGTTCTGTTAGTTCTTTACCCCTCCATAAAGGTTAAGCGAGGGGATGAAAAAAAAAATGCATATGTGAGTTGAGTGTCTATGCTTCTGTGGAAGGTTTCACTTATAGTTGATTTCTTGCCCACCTCAAAAATATCCACACTTTGCCTTGTTTGCTATTCAGTTACAGCCATTTGGACCACTTGGTCCTTTGTGGTGCTATTCTTTCACCCCCTGATTATCAGGACTCCCCTGGTGACTCCTTTCTCTCCTCACACCCCATTCAAGTATCTCAACTCCTCATCCTCAGGAGATCCTCTGTACCCATGGATGTTTTTATAGCTTGAAGCTTGATGTCTTACAAAATAGTAATAAGAAATGGAAAATAATTGACATCTTCACAGTCAAAGAGGGAAGGGAACATACATTACAGCTGATGAAAAGTATTATAGCAATAGTGATTTGCAGATACAAAATTAGCTTTAAATTTAATGGAAATCCAGAGTGCAAAAGTTCTTGAATTCTATGGAAACTTATGTGGCTGCTGATTGGTGTGCAGCCCCCCAGCAGTGGGCTGGCAACGGTCTTGCTGTAGAGGCTCATTGCCTTCAGGCTCCAGGACCAACCTTCTGTCAAAAGCCTACAGCTGCCTGAAAGCTCTGGGCTCCACCACCAGCTGGGATCTGCTCCCCAATCTCCTTGAATTTAGCACAGCCCTGATGAGACAAACATCCTTTAATTCTGGCCCCATTGCATTTCTCCCAAAGTACACAAGGCTGTTTTCTTGCCCACTTGGAGCAGACAACTCAGTAGTCCATGTGGTTGGATCTATCTAAAACCACAACAATGTGAGGATTCCCCATGCCTCTTCGACCTCACTCGTGCTTCAGAATAGTCTGGCATTACATTTGCCAGACAATAATTCTGACTGCAACTTGGCTACAAATTAAGGGATGTGTTGGTGTTTTTTTTCCCCTTTTCTTAGAAGAGGAGAGGGGGGAACTGCTCAACTAACTGGATGCCTTGCTCCTGGTGTCAGGTTGGCTCAGCGTTATCCCTTTTATCAGCAGTATGGTGTCCCAGCTGTGAGCATAGAGGTGCCAGGAGTAATTAAAAGTGTTGCTATCGAGTTCTACTTTGTTCACAATGAGAAGCACTTTTTTCCCTGTGAACTTTTCACATTGCTGGGCTGAACAAAATGGGTGGAGTTTTCTTCTGAAGTTATTTCTATTGTTATATAACTTTGATAGTGACAGTAAATGAGTCTTTACTGGCTCGGTTGAGCCTTCTGGAGACTGTTGGGTGTTAAATGAAGTTCTCTGCTCAGTGACCTCCAACAGCAACTGATGTCTCCTGATCTAAGCACTTCCTGTTGTTTTACTGGTGGCGGTTGGTTTTCTATTAAGCTCATTTGAGTCCTGCACATTTTTACCCTCTGCCCTTTAAAGGGAGGGACTAATGTTAGTTTTGGCTTCTGAATGGAAACTTTACAGTGCAGGCTTCAAAAAAGCAATGGTGAAAGAGAAAGAAATAAAAATTAAATTATAAATCATCTTTAGTGTCATGCCAAGACTATCTACAGCCAACTTTACCGTGGCTATTATCTATTGGAAATTATTTTGATATTAAGTGTTTGCAATCATCCTACAGGCTTTGCTTGACAGCCAAAAGGCATGAGTTTTGCTTTAAAAAAAATGGGGTTTTGATCTGAAATGATTTAAAAACTAGTGATAATGCATATTTGGTATTTCCTTCTGCCTTTTGGTATTTTAACCTTCATGGGTACACAGAGGTCACATTTGCAAACTCTCCTCCATGGCCCTTAGGGCTAGAAACTCAAAAATGAAGGCTGAAATTGTCAAAGAATTAAATTCTTCTGGGAGCCTGGAGGAGAGGGCAGGGGAACAAAGGAAAATCAAATCTGTGACAAAATCCCAAGGACTGGTGGCACAGTTAATAAGAGAAAGGCAAGGGGCAATTGTCTGTCATTGATGGTGACTGAAGCTAAATAGTCTAAATCACAGTGCTGAATCATATTATGTATATTTTACTTGAATACAAAATGTAAAGAATTTCATCAGTGTTTTTGTGCTGGGCTGGCTCAGAGTCCCATGGTATATTCAGAGGCTGAGGATAGGGCTTCAGTCATAACTCTGCATTCTGTACATTCAGTGAATTGGTTTTGAGATATCAGTGTATGTTCCTAAATGTTTCATCCAAAACATTTGTTTTGGGAGGGAGCATTGTCCTCACGCTTCCTGGCTTCAGTCTGCCCCTTCAAAGGCAGAGCCACTCACCCATCAAACCGTGCCTCTTTGGCTGCCCAAAATTTTTGCCCAGAACAGCTGCTACCCAAATAGCCCAGTATGCAACCAGATCTCATAAATTACAGCAAGTTTCAGGCTGTTCAACACATATGAAAATAATTTAGACAAAGGAGCTGACTGTAATCTCACAGGTATTGAGTACTGTTTACGGTACATGCATTTGGAGCGCCGTGTTGAGCTAAGACTGAAAATTCAAGAATTGTTTTTGTTTTGCTTTTCCTGGTTAGACAAAAATTAGATTATGCAGCTTAATGCTATTCAAACAGAGCTTCTCTTCCACAAAATTAACAGATTAAGGTGTTCCTGAAACTGCTGGCCAAAATACGAGAATTAAAAATATTTTAAGAACCATTTTAAACAACTTTGAACCAATCCACAAATGAAAAGGTTCACTGTCATATTTATTTGAAGATACATGAAACGTTCTGAAATTGGGAAGTTTTATTTTCCCTTCGCATTATGTGTTTAATTTGGAAGTCCTGTATTTTAGACCTTCCACTGATTCAAAAACCAAAACAAAGAGACTTCAAAAGCCATTGTTGCTACATTCAAGTCTAAACTCTGCCTTTGTTCCTGTAGCTAATGAGTTTATACTGTCCTGCAGGGAGAATTGACACCAGCCTCAAGTAAATGAAAGCAGGCCAAATGTTGGTAAGATCAGAGCACTAAAGTAATTATGGGTTGATTAAATGTTTATCTTCTTTACAGGTGGGAAGGAAAGAATGAAAATGAAGTTGGGCGATGCAAAGAGACTGGCAAGATTCATGTGACAGTCAATCACAAGTACTACAGACCAACTGAAGTGGTAAGAAAATGCCCTCTCTTAGCTTTGCAAATGAATAATCCAATCACTCAGCCAATAAATTGCTGCATTTGGCCAGCAGTCTGTGAAAACGGCTTAATTGCACTCCTACTGCTAGCTTTTAGAGCTCTAAATTAGCCTGCTTGCTGGCCCCCTCAACGCCAGCTACCTGGGAGCAAGCAGCACTGCAAGAGGCAGCAGTCTGGCTGCCCTGCCAGACATGCTGCTCTGCTTCTGTCACCCTCTCTGAGTGGCAGAGGGGAGGCTTAGCAGGGTGATGTCACCCGTGGGAAACAAAACAAAGTGCAGAACAACTTCTTGTTTCTTTTGGTCCCGAATTCATATGTGGTCAGCTCTCCTCTGGCTACCAGATGGGAAAGCAGAAGAAGGAGGGCACTAATTGGTTTGATTTTTGAAATTCCTCCTTCCGGTCTTCATGACAATGTCTCAGTTCCATCCAGTGTTTATGCACTGCTCAGCTTAAATCTTGGCAATGAGCTCAGCACAGAAGTGCAGGCATCCTTTTGTGTTTTGCTTTCTTGAGTATTTTGTGGGGTCCTATTTAGTAAACCCTCATTCACCGAAGACATCTTCACCCCTAGGAGTGCCTCAGTGAAGTCTGATAGGTGTGCTCCAATTACCCACTGAGGCTCCTAGGAGAGAAAAAAAAGTGTTCTGCAAACTTGAGCAGGATGGTGGTAAACTTGAACAGGATGGAGCCTGGTTTCTGGACACAGTGGCCCTGATTGAGTGGTGCGGGTGTGCCCAGGAGAGGATGTTCTGCTCTTCTGGGGATCGGACATTGGCCCTGCCGGTGCTGATGCAGCATCGCCTGTCAGTCAGCCTGTTTGAAAGTGCTGGCTTCAGCTCTGTGATAGAGTGTGCCAAGCATGTTTGTCTTGAGACAGGTTGCAAGGAGGGATTGGGGAGCTGCATGCATTGAAGTGGACTTGGGTTCTGAAGAGGGAATTCAGATGGGAGTAGAGACTTCAGTGCTGTGCAGAGAAGGGCTTGGTTCGTGTACCAAAATTAAAACCTAGTATGTTGTTAAGAGCTGTCCATCATTCTGCACTTTGCTAAGGTATCAGGACGATAAGGACACAAAGACAAAAGGACTTGCCAAACAGGAAAAGGACACTTGACCCAACAAGTCTGTGCTTTGTGAGAGCCACTTTCCTGCTTTGTCATACTGACAGGTACCTTTGCTTCAGTATCCACTGGTAGCTGTTCTGGAGCCCTCACCGTAGTTCCACCTTATTCACATCCTCATACTTCTGCTGAAATAGAGTTGCCTACAGTCTTCTATTTGTCTTTATTGGTCTGTTTTTGGGACACAATTTTCGGATTTTACATTCAGCTCGCAAGCTCATGCTTGTCCATTTTGGGACAGTACGTAACAGAGGTTCTTCAGGAATGCTTGTGCAATTGCTAATGGGTCCACACATGAACACAAGAAAGGATAAGAAGCACAAAAATGATTTTTGAAGTATCTTTGTCTTGAGGAATATGCAGATGAGCTGTTGGCAAATTCCTATGTGAATAGAGACAAAGCAGAATCTATCAGAAGTTGTGATGAGCTTGTTGGAGGATACAGAATTGTTATTTGTTGGTGTATCTTTGGTTTAGTTCCAAGCCAGCTTAACCTGTTCGGATTTACAGCGTTTTATTTCACTTCTTACATAAATTAAATCTGTAGTATCTACGTAGTCAGAAACTGCAAGGCATGTGTGTTCAGGTAGTTTAGGCAAGACTACTGATGTATGACATGAAGGAGAAGGGACACCAACTATGAAATCCTCATTATGTCTTTTTTACTGGAATCCTGTGAAACATGGGAAACATGGAGCTGAATTCTTTAAAAAACATCTAAAGAGACTGAAAAATAAGGGTTATTCTTGACTGGCAACAACAGACTGGTTTCTGAACAGTTCTTTATGATTGTATGCTGACCACATTTCTTGAACAGTGTTGTCAATCATGTACCTTCTGAAGAGAGATTTCTTTGGCAATATTTCTCCCATGGGAAGCAGTGGAGATATTCAATCTGCTTATAACTTTCATTTAATTTACTTGATACAAAGAAAGTCCAGCCTAGACCCTAAAGTATGCAAGTTTCTCAAAGGTGGTAAGATTCAGAGCTAAGTAGTTCTTGAGCCTGTTTCATCCACATGGAAGAGTGGAGCAGGGCTGTTCCAGGACTTGCAGCTGTTGGTTTGAGTGCCATGGTTCTTGGCAATTAGCCTGGCATCTACCTCTTGGAACCAAGTTTTTACATAGGAAAATGTAGACAATCTCAGGATGGCTATCCAGAGTAGCTTTCTTCTCCCTTTTTAATATACATTACAGAATTATTTCTGTTCTTTATCAGAAGAAAGCAAACCTCTCTATTTCAGTCAGGGAGACACGGCAGCGCAAATCCAAAATGCCAGATCCAAATCTAATCCGTTCCCAGAAACAAAGTAAATGCCATGAGAGAGCCAAAATGGACTGACAGCACGTGTCCCTTCCCACTATCCTCAGCAAGACTACAGAAGTCAAGAAAGCCTCAGGTTGACATTTTCATGGGAGGCTTAGCCAGATCAGTTAACAGGAATTCTGCTGTTGAATCCTAGCTGATGCAGAAAATCTGATGCTTAGATTCTCATGTCTTATTTGGAAACGTTTCTGTCTGTCTCTCTAAAATTTAATGCAGTATTCTGGAAAGTGAAAATAAATATCATTTAATCTTGTATACAGTCAGTTCTGACAGTGCCAATACATTCATTTGAAAACATATTTGTTTTCTTAGTTAGCGATCCCTGGGGTCAAGGCCTCCCATTGAAAAGCTTAGCTGTACCGAAGAGGAAACCTTGAAATGTGAGACTGTCTTCTGGTCAAACTAAGTAGACCCTTTGAATGGCTTGACTCTAAATCTCTTCACTCTGCTTTTGACTGCTTTGTAGCCCCTGATATTTACTGGCCTTGGGAATTCTTCCTGTTAATTCCTCTAATGCCTTTCTCTCTCTTTCATTTCTTCTTTCTTTCTGACTACAAACCTATTGCTGTCATTTCTTTCAGCCTGAATCATATTCCTAACAGTATTCTTTTTGGCTTTTCTTTTCCAACTGAATTTGGAGACTATAAACTGCTGCATGGCGTGGGAAAAGATGTTTACTTTGCCTTTCTTAGAATCAGCAGTTTTCACAGGAGCTTCATCACCAGCTCGCTTTACATACTAAGCTGATGTAGTGTGAAAGATTTTTTCATGTATTTCATAGGTGTATTTAGCACGTGGCTGAGAAGGCTGTACCTTACATTCATTTGCTGCTTTTGATATGTATAGATGTCACTACAGTTTACTCACCTGTAAAATTTAGATCCTTCAAAAATCACCTCACCAAACTTTTATGATTTTATTGCAATCAGAATACTCAAATAGCAGGTAGGCAACTGGAGTCTATACTTGGAGTCAAATAACCTTCTTGCTTTGCATAAAAAGCAAAAAAAAAAAATTTAATGAAATTATGAAATTCTGTGAGCCATCCAATTCAGTTGGAAACAAGCAACCCTGCAGCACAGCGTGCTGGAAGCATCCCATCTCTCAGTCCCTGAAGTTGGGTGATTTCTAGAGAACTTGAGCCTGTCTTTAGTTTTTCTTATCTTTCAGCAAGATAATTAGTGTTAACTTGCTGTTCTTTCTTCCATCTTACTTACATATATTGGGAGGAAAAAAAACAACAAAAAAATGATCTCAAAATGAGCAACAGGAAAATGATACTTGAAGAATTCAAGTGTGATGGTCAAGCAGGTATTTCTCTCCAAGAATTCCAGTCATCACTTCTAATGAATTTAAGTATGTTGACATGCTTTAGTAAAATTGCTTCTAGTATTTTGATATGGCAGATAGTGAGCTAAAAATTTTTACTGGTGTCTGTTTCATTTTTTTGCCCTTTACTTCTACAATGAAGATCAACCCCATGTCTCAACGGTGCATCTTGTTATCAGAGAATTTAAGATGTACATATCTCAGTTAGGAATTTAATTAATTCTACCTTAATTTTTTTAAGGGAAAAAAATGTTCCAAGAAACCTTCAATGATATGAAAGTGTTGGGTTTTTAATCTGTATCTAATTCTTTGCTGGTGTTACAGGGAATCTTTCTCCTCCTTTCCCACCTGTTTCTGTATGTGTCCTACAGCTTTCTTAGGGTGAGGGCTGTAGCTTATATTCATTCATCATGATTGTTATGGACTGACATGGCTGTAATTCTGAGGATGTACATACATCAATGCAAATTTCCTTCCTTTATGCAAGTCCTAGAAGCTCTGTCACAATGTGATGCAAATGTTTAAGCATTCATATGGCCTCTTATTATTATTCTTCAAAGAAAAACGAGTATGCTAACTTCTTCCTTTTGTTATATGCCCTAAGCAATTAAGCATTTTTCTCCCAGTCCTTCTTAGCACTGATATAAATGAAACTCCATGCAATGCTCAGCAGAAAAATTCTTAGCAGCAAAATGTCCAAGGATGCTTTGTCCTCTTGGGATTGTATCTTTCAAACTGCTCTAACTTCTAAGAAGTTCCATATCCCTCCATACCAGGTTGCTTACTTCTCAAAGGATGGCTTGTCGTATCCAAATATCTACAGAAGTTCCCGTAAAAAGAAATTTGCCAGGTTCTCTCTGTATTGCTTGTGCTAAACTTTATATCTTTACTTAACTACAGTTGGCCCCAGTTGCCCTTTTTTTCTCTTCGGAATTAAGCAGAACAGCTTTAAATTTCAGTCTCTTAGATGTTTTTAAAAAATTCAGCTCCATGTTTCCCATGTTTCACAGGATTCCAGTAAAAAAATTCCTTGGGGCATATCACATTTTCCCAAAGTCAGCTTTCTTAAAGTCAAAAACATTTCTGAGCTCCATCTGAGTGTTTCTGCCGTGAAGAGCATTTAGGATCTCATTTAGGATGAAACCATGATCACAAAGCTCTTACTGCCACACGCTTCCACTTCAGTTTCCATACAGCT